GATTTCCAAGGTTCGCGCAAGAGCAGCTTGTGAACCTGATCTGCATGAGCGTTTGAACATGGAACGTAGCTAGCTTGAAGAGCGAACGGGGTGTAACAAAAGCCTTGCTGTTGGTATTTGAATGTGTGCGATCGGTTTTAAGCGAGTCATTGAGGTGGCCGGATGTACCGTTTTTATTTGCAATGCACTTTTGGAGACTCGAAATTGTAGGGGGTTGCCAAGAACAGGAGGGTTGAATAAAGGTGGCACGAAGAACGTGGTTTGCGGTGCGGTAGGGTGAGGTTTACCATGTCCGGCCGCCAGAACTTCGGCTAAAAAGAGTGTTCAGAGAGCGAGACATGTGAGCAAAGGGTTGTAACTCCATCATTTCATGTCGTGTGGGCATACAGCTTCCCGGTGGCCCTGGCCGAGGAACGGGTTGGCTTAGGAGGCGCCATGCGGAACCTTTGGTCATAGGGACCTGACCCGCAAGGCAGCGGGACGAATTCAGGGAATCGCGCCCATTGGGAGCCGGTGACCGATTGCTCGGTTCATTCGCCTTTCGTTTGGCTGGCTGTCAAACAGGGGCCCAACATTCCCAGTAATTCAGCGTTAAGCTGAATGATTGCAATGCTCCAGTGAGGTGGAGCAAGGGGCAGTGACTTTATTTACTGGCGAGTCACGTCCGCCACGTCGCAGTGTTGTTAAACGGACATATGTGGCTTTTATAGGGAGAACGCTTGCCAGGCGAAAACCCACCACGTCCTGTATTGCGTGGGCAAAATACTGTCGGGTTGCCCAGGCCTAGACAGGGGAACGATTAGGGTTCTCAAGCAAAAGTTTGGTTCAAAAACCTTGCCGCAAGACAGCGGGGGTTTGACACTGAAGTAAGGAGTCACCTTCACTCCAACCCCCAACGTAGAGTACCAGGAGACTGAGTTTGTCAGGCCTCTAACCATTGACCAATCTGCTATGAGTGGCTCTGAAGGTGCAAAAAAGCACCACCCAGCATAGCTCAATGGATCGCTGAGGCACACAAATCATCGCACCACATTATGTTCCAGTATCATCGCGATGGTCATCGGCGAATATTTGCTACTCATTCCCCCTGCTCGATCAGACCAACTCCTGTTCTATCTGGTTACCACATTCAACTTTGCTTTACCGCGCCGAACCTCCCCTGCCCATCTGGTCAGCCCTACCATATTCAACGCATGGATGGCACTTGTTTCATCTTCTGTTCACCAGGCACCCATCGCCTACGTTTACTCCATGGAGCGGCGGCCATTGCGTCCCTTGTCGTTGGTTTGGTAACTTTGATGCTCACACTCCATTTGTTCGCGCTTCTTTGAGCCACTCCATTTCACCTTTGTCCGTGATCAAGCTGTGCCTTGTTCATCTGAACCAATTTCGTTTTATCTCCCGCTTGTGTGATCGTGGTCAGCTGGAGTCGGCGGGGGCGCGACTATTTAGCCTCCATCTACTTAAGTTGTGTCGGTCACGTTCACCCAGACGGCTGGCTACCGTCACTGTTATCACTCTCTACACCCTTCTGGTTCACTGCTCAGCCTTCTTTTTATCTTGAACAATGGCCTTCTTACTTTCTTCTTAATTGTTGCTTTGTTTCTTTAATGCATACACCGGCTTAATTCACACAGAGTATTCCGCTCTGATGTCCAACGATCACTTTCTTTGTTTACCTACCTTTTCTGTTTTTGGATTCACTCTCATCGCGTTAGTGATTAACTCGGTTGCATTGGGCTCTTACCTCCAATCCGAGATGTTCCACGGTGGCAGTTTCTTATAAATTCAGAATATCAAGAGCGGTCTGAACAGTTTTGGAACAGGAAATCCCTTTATAATTTCCAAGTAAGAAAATCGGCAGATGTAAATTGTGAAATGACTAACATTTCGTGCATTCTCGTCAATCGCAATCATGAAAACAATGATAAATATACAAAACGTGGTCATATGTGATCAACAGCTAGCCAATCGGTGCGCCTCGCGCTATCATTGTAAATTTCGATGCACAGTCAACTGTTTCTGCTCGCAAAGCAGTGATCGTTCACATTCAGTAGCCTGTGAATGTAGGGCAGCTGCTTGCGCATCAGGACGGTGAGTGTCCCATCTGGATTGACTCGGTGCTTGTGATTGCCGAGGCGGCTCGATTTCTCAATTCATCCGATTCCGCCGTCATCGATCCCACTCGGCGGCGTAACTACTTGGGAATGTGTCCATTGATTCTGACCGCTAAACTTCGGTCAAAACGTCTCCATAGCTATGAGTGAATATACACAATCGATTGGACATGTGTTGCCTCATTATCGGTGTTTTAATGGAGCACACAAGCAGATGTCTTGTTGACGTGAGTAGCCGCAGTTCAGTTGCATTCTACGCCCTTTTCGCTGAGGTACTAATATTATTAAAATCAACGCGAAACTTCAACAAAGTCTCTGCTTGTGTGTTCCATTATGACACCGATAGCGAGGCAATACATGTCCCATTGCAAATGCAAATTCACCCGTAGTTACGCCGCCGAGTGGGATCAGTGACTGCAGAATTGGGTGAATAGTGAACTCGAGCTGTTTCGGCAATCACAAAACGCTTACTGAGCGCCGATCACTGAGTCAATCCAGATGGGACAGTCACCGTCCGGATGTGCAATCAGGTACCCCCCATTCACGGGCTACTGGAATACATTGTCCTCGACCGAGAATGGGCACTGCTTTGCGAGCGGATACAGCTTCCTGTGAATAGGAACTTACACTGGTTGCGCGAGGCGCACGGATTGCCCAACGATTGGCTAACTGTTGACCATTTATCACCGCGTTTGCATGATTGTGATCGACGAGCATGCACCAAATGACAGTTATTTCACAAATTACATCTCCATATTTCTCATTTGAACGGTTTTGATTAAATAAATATGCGGAACTTTTCAAAAAGACTAAACATTTGTAGGTACTTTTCCTGTATATCGGAAGGCCGACCGCATTTTTAATCTTTTACGAGAACCTTCTGCATCTGGGCTAGGAAAGAGTTGCTTGCAGAAATGGCCGAACACAAACAAACGTCATGAATGCAGCGAAAGGGACCTAAAAACAGATATTTTGTGATTTGTTACTGGTAACACATGCATCAGGCGCTAATCTTGAAGCCGATTTTACGAACGTTGTGGTTGTTAAAAGATATCGCAGACATCACTCCGTAAGCTATTTGTCCCGACAATGGAACACACCGAGACCAGTTGTTGTTTGAACAGAATACACACATTGGAACAACCTGGAATCTAACAGTTAGTGCTTGTTCGGTTAGTTTACTTGGTATCAGTGGATAGCTCTAGGTCGGAGGACAATGCTCAGCACCAGTGCCGCTAGTGTCTTAAGTGTCAGCACGTTATACGCTTAATCACTGTCTATTCTCTATGTGGATCGCTGCACCCATGCTGACGCTCAGGCATGTTTCTCTGTGTGCTAATGTCGCCCCACTGAAAAGTCATAACAATTGCTCTAGGATTTAGATGACCTGATGAATCTTTTATATCGAAGGCGACATGTTGCTCAACCAATACAATAACCGACTACTCTGGAGGTGTGCTACGGCTCCGAGTTGTCAAGGTTATAAACCACACGATGTTCCCTAGTTTACTCAGTCGGTGCAACCTACTTCGCCAAACTTTAAGTGGCCTTGGAGAGCCTATGTGTGGCCACCGAAATTGTCAAGCCACTTGGTTTCCTCGCTTGTTCCTTCGCCTTGTTCTTCCATCTTTTACTCCTCCGATCTGCTGAATCCGACAGCTACCAACCAACTGAATAGCTAACCTCTGTGGAATGCCATCAGTTTTCACGCCTTCTCTATACACATCGCCGATGAGGTTCAGTGTCGTTGAGGCTTTCATTTAATCACCTCATGTAGAACCCCGTGAACCGGGAAGCACTTCTTTCTTTGACTTGTGCATGGTTTGATTTCACTACACTACATGAACGATCTGAGCCAATGTTCTGCTACCAGTCCATCGTGCAACGTACCATTACCTAACTAGTCATGTAAACGTTTTTTTTCAATTTTCGCTGGTTGCTGTTCTGCCCACTTGCTCAGTAAGACACTAGAGTACTCAGGGTATCTACCAAGGTACTCCTTTTTGACGGCAGTCGCCTGCTTTTCTGGCCTTGTGTCGCTTTTCGTTGTAACAGTATGAGACTAGTTTTAGTCGATTTCTTTCACTATCCTCTTTAACCTTCTATCAAAACCCCATAGTTATTTATCTGCTTTCTGTTTCCCTTGTCGAGGCTTTCCACTTCAAATGATGACCAGGGTCCTCATAATGCTATGTACCACCACAATGGTCCAACTTGTTATCATCCGCAAATTTACTATTCACGCTATCCATATAGGCCTAAACGCCAATCTCACATTTGCTGCCGGCATTCGGCACTGTTGCTACTGATTTGTGTGTAACGAGGTGGGAGCCGAGCGTTTAGACTTGTTTATGTTCTGCAAGACTTCTTGTTGGTCGTTATCAGATCGGCGTCTCGTCTTCTTGCTTGCCGGGGCCATTGTCCTTTCCGCCAAACATCATTTTACATTATCTACTGTGTATATCTCAATATTGCATGAGTAAGCTGACAGCTATTTTGTTCAATCAGCTTCCAAGGTCACTGAGGCTCTTTACTCCATTCAACTTTGAATATACACGCGAGATATCGCGCACGAACCGCTATCTATTGTCTTTGGACACAAAATTCTACGTCAATTGAAACGAATTTTGAAGGAACATTTTTATGAAACTATTCCGTTTTTAGTGGATACAAATCCCGAAGCTTTAGTCCACCTTTTTGGAATCGTTGCCCGATCGATCAATGACAGAGAATCCGCAATTTTCTACCCATTGTAAACTTTACATTTTTAACGGTAACCCATTAGTAAATTTACTGTTGATTATGTAAATGCTGAACATGCAACCTTTTGGGTACATAAAGCTTATACTGACTTGACTTCTTCTTATTGTCTGCCCACAATAGGCTTATCAAATACATCAGCCATGGATCCTGTCGTGCAGCTTTATTTCGGCGATCGAGTCACCTTCCGATTGTACAGTCTCCTTGGATTTTAGCTCCCGTTTCCTCAGCCAACCGGCACATCAGTACGTCACATTATCGCTATTTTTCGAGTGGCTTTGAACCGTCACCCTTATGTTACCGCTGCGTTCTTTCTATTGCTAGATACACACGTTGTCGGCCAATGCGGTCTCCACGGTGCAGTATCTAGATCTTGATGGTATTTTTACTTGATATTTAATTATTTCCTACATAAGACGTTCACTTCCTTGGCAATGCTCATTTATGGTCCCTTCCATTCTTTTTCTCACAATGTAGCGTCAGCGAAATCATTCCTATGCAGTCGCTTCTCTGCGTTAACACTCACCTGTGTAACGCGTGCTCGGCTTGCCTCTTTAAGATCCCGGCTACTGCTCCATTCCCCACCGAGGCCTTTTGTGATCGTGGCATTTATTGCTTACTTCCTCCTCCTTCACATGTTCGTTCTGCGATGTTACTTGTTCTAACTTGGCCTGTGTGGCAGGCAGCTTTCGAAGATTGGACTGTTGGACACAGTCGACCTTGTCTATCCCCTTGACTACTCTCCCTCAAACACATGATTCACACCGGCTTTCAGCTGTGATTTGTTCTCGTTTTTTCAACTATTTTCTGTGGCTTCATTTTGAATACAACATTGCTTACCGTACTTCCGTTTTCTTCTGGTTTGTATTTGAATGAGTTGCATTGCCGATAGACAGCGTGTGCTGCACTGTTATGTCAGTTTGGAATATATTTCTTCTTGTCTCACTAATATCATCGACGCGTCATTTTCATTGGTGAAACGATGAAAGGCGTTTATTTAGTTGTTTATATGAGCCATTGTTTTCGCTTGACAAAGGGACCCGCTGTTCATTTAACTCGGTTCATCAAGTAGCGCCAGCCCACCGAATTATGGTGAACCCAGTTCATTTCGCTTCCGTCGCCATGTTAACGACTGTCAACGGCGAGAGACCGTGATAACATATAAAGAACGCATAGTAAGAAGACAAATAAAATCCATAGGCCGAAAGAAAGTTAAATTCGTCAAGAAGAATCGATGGTGCTGGCATCAACGGACAGAAATCAACCGCGATTATCGCCTACTCCATGTCATTCGGGTCTCCGACCAGTGTTTTCGCTGTTTTAATGATCTTTCCATTCAGACGACTTTCACGCACTGAACTCAGCGTTTGCGTCAGTTTTCTCACATTCTTTTGCTTGCCATTGGTGGGTCACTCAAGCCATATTCAATGTTGACCAACAACGCATGCCGAACTGGGTGTCATGCGAGCATACAGATACCTCAACCTGAGCAGTGTAAACCGTTCAACTTTGGTGGGCGGTCCAGTGCGACACCACTATATCTGTTATCTGAGTAGATGCAGGCGATCTTGGAGTATCTAGCCCCCACGAGACTGGCGGTGATCTCCTCACAGCCAAGCGTCAATACCGCGTACTGCTGGTGCCATTCTACTCCTGTTGTATCATCCACTTATGGGAAGCACTGCCTCGCAAGCATCAGGTGTTTATTGTTCTGCTGAATGCATTGCAGCAATATTCACTATCCTTCGCATATAGACTGATATTTCCATCCACTTTACAAAGCCACGTACCTCCGATCACCGCACACGCCAATTTTTTAATTGATTTAGTCACCAGTTTGTATACATCTTGCTTGGGTAAAACAACCAGCAATATCGGGTGCTCATTAGATACTGATGCGAGACTGCTGCGTATCTATACCAGCACCTTAAGAATCTGTAAAAATCGACCTATACATTACTTCTATTCACTTTATTGCGTCTTCTGGGGAGGGGCTGATTTCGATTCAGAAGGAGCTTACCTGATTGCACATTCACTCTACGCGTTACATGGCTTGCCATCTTGCTTATGAACTTTTTGGCTATGAAGTTGAAAAAAAGCTGGGACAGCCGTAGTGCACCTCCAAGAAGGGCCTCCTTTAGAGCCTTCTTTGGTCCAAGCTATTGCAGTCAGATATATCAACAGTTGACTCCGTCTTCTTCACTAGTACATGAGACCGCAGCCATGTTTGGTCAGTCGAGCCGAAAACTGCCTTCTGTTCAGAGCTGTTTGTAACCGTTTTAGTCACCTATCGACGTGGTCTTTCTGCCACTCATTATGCTCTTAATTGCTTGCCTTTACAAGTTTTTCCATAGTTGCCATACTTTCCATGCTTGATGAGATCGCCTTTTACTCGCTTCATTCGCATTAGTCATAACATCGAAACATATCCACCTGAAACTAACAGGATAACAGGGCCCAAGTAGATATTAACACTGATTCTGTGATGAAACTTCTTCTTCAGTTAGATCCGTATAGCTCACCCGGCCCTGATGGGTTGCATCCTTTGTTCCTCAGGACTGTGGCGGAGTACATAGCTTCACCCATATGTCAAGTCTCTCATCGCTCATTAGAAGCTGGCCGTCTTCCTTCAGCCTGAAAAGTGGGTATTGTCAAACCCATCTACAAAGGAGGAAGTCGATATGATCCGGCCAATTATCGTCCAATCTGTTTGACATCAATAGTGTGTAAAGTTATGGAACGGATCCTAAAACTGGCTGTTAATCTACATTTTGGGGAACAAAATGTCATTTCTTATACCCAACATGAGTTCCGAAAAACACGCTCCTGTACCTCGAACTTGCTCGTTGCTAAGGAGCCCTTGGCAAGGTCGCTAGACTCCGGCAAACGCTTGGACGTTGTGTTTGTTAACTTTTGACAAAGTCCCGCATGAACGCTTCTGTTCAAGCATCAAAGAATCGATATTTCTGGGAACCTCCTGTCTTGGATTTCTGACTTCTTAAACGACAGCTCTGCAACTGAAGGTGAATGACACATTTTCTGCTCCTATTCTCATGACGAGTGGGGTCCCACAGGGCTCGGTCCCGTACTTTACAATATCTTCATCAACGACTTACCGTTCACTCTTCAGACGGATTGCCTAATCTACGCTGACGACCTAAAGCTATGGATGGAAGTATTCATTCTTGAAGACGAGAACAGATTACAATCTACACTCGATCTACTCCATGATTTGTCGCAACGAGACTGGACTTTAACGTGGTGCGACGGTTTGCGTACCTCATTGACCCATTGAGCTATACTGGGTGATGCCTCCGGGCACCTTGAGAGCTACTCCCACCAGGTTGGTCAAAGGTGAGTGGTCAGACAAACTAAGTCTCTTGGTCCACCAGCTTGACGGTTTGAAATGGGATGGCGTCCATTTCTGTAAAACTAAATCATTGCCACCTCCTCGCTGCCTTGCGGACAGGCTTTTGAGCCAAAGGCTTTGGATGAGGACCCTAATCGTCCTCCTGTCTAGATTTGGGCGCCCTGGCAGTATCTCAGCCCACATACAACCATGCCATTTTCTTCAAACATAAACTTCATCTTGCATCGGCCATCGCGCAGCTTATCAAGGGTCGCCTTATCTGCTGCATACAGCAGGGCGGATAAGCGAAAACATGCTACTGCTCGCGTCTCCCTTCTTTCTTTTCCACCTTTTTCTCTTACTCCCATCCCGATCCCCATTACTAACCTCCCTTCAATAATTCTCAGCTTAATTGACAGTAACCGAAGTGCCACTGGAGTAGAACCATCTGCAGTCACCATCCCACCGCAACTATCGGACGCCTATCGACAAAAGTCCCTTATAAGACCACGCTGTCCCGTTTCCATGGCGACATTCAACGTTCGTACTCTAAGACAAACAGGTCAACAGGCTGCACTCGCACGCACCTTGGACACACTGGGTATTGATGTGTGTTGTATGTCAGAAACTAGGATCAATGACCCTAACGGGGTTATTGAATTGACTGCACCCGGTTTCTCCTCTCGTTATTGGTTGCAAGCATCCGGCGACGCCGATGCAGCACTCACGGGTCAAGCTTGTGTAGGTATCATTCTCAGCTCCAAGACTGAACCATCGTTGGTTGATTGGATTCCGGTGAACAGCCGTTTATGTGCAGCCCGTTTGACAACATCAGCTAAGGTGGATTCATGAAGTAGTACAAAACGCTGTTTGTTTATGGTTTCCGCTTATGCTCCCACCGACTGTATTTCTAATGCAGTCAAGGACACTTTCTATCACGAACTGAACGCGCTACTACGCAGTGCTACTAGTTCAGATATTATAGTACTTGCAGGGATATGAACGCACAAGTAGGGCGTCTGAGCTCTTCAGTAGCTCAGCTGAGTGATAATTGTGGGCTTAACTCCGAACAGATTGACAACGGTGAGTGTCTGCTGCAACTGTGTGCGGAGCACCAGTTATTTCTTAGTAGCACTGCTTTTAGACACAGTGAGCACCGAAATGTCACTTGGCGTCCTCCTGTAGCTAGCCAGCGATGGACCCAAATTGACCACATAGCCATAAGTTACAGATGGCGTGGTTCCATCCTGGATTGCCGCTCGTACTGGAGTACCTGTGTCGACTCTGATCATGCCTTGGTACGCTGTCGTTTCTCGATGAACTTTACCGGGATGCGCACCAAACCTTTCCCACGATTCGCAACTGAGAAATTGTCTCAGCCCTCGGTCAAGCAAGCCTATCAAGACGCACTGTATACCGAACTCTCGCTGTCTTGTTCTAATGACACTGAGCATCAGTGGAATAGGATCTCGGCCGCCATGCACGACGCAGGAGTAGCTGCTTGTGGCACTATCCATCGTCTCCGCATCAGTCACTGGATATCTGAGAGGTCGGTGAACCTGTTGAAATCTAGAAGACACCTCGCGGCTGGATCTGAACACAATGTGATCAGACGGGCTATTAGATCTGAACTAAAGCAGAGCCTATGTGCTGACAAGGAAGCCTGGTGGACCAGTCGGGCTCAAGAAATGGAGGAGGCAGAAGCAGTAGGCAATTACCGCAAGCTCTTCCGGCTTATCCTCACCACTGGTCCCAGAAAACCAGGCGTCAGTGAGACAATCAGACATCGCAGGTGCGCTGATACACAATAAGGAGCGCCGTATGGTTCGTCGCGCGGAACACTTTCAAGATCAGTTCAGCTGGCCCCCTGCTTCCGGTCCTCTTCCTACTCAGGTGATGCAGGGGGAGCCATATAGACGGTTAGTTTAGGGCCTCCGTGGGAGGCCGAGGTCCGAAACGCGATCACGGACCTTAATAGTTTTCGTGCCGCTGGCCCGGATTTCCTCCTACCTGCACTATTTAAGGATGGAGGTGAGATTCTCTGCAAAGCACTGACCTCCTTATTCGAATGTATCTGGAACGAAGAGTGTGCCGGCTAATTGGAGCGAATCGATTATAGTGGCAATATACAAGAAGGGCAGTCGCACAGACTGTTCTAACCACAGGGGTATTAGCCTAACGTCAGTTGTGACAAACTTACTGGCGTCGATTCTCGTTCGTCTCCTCACTGCGGAACGGGAATCTCGGATTAGGGAAGAGCAGGCCGGTTTCCGCCCAGGATGGGGCTGTAATACCATGTAGTCACTTTACGACAGGTGCTAGAGCATCGCCACGCATACTGCAAACCGACAATAGCTGTGTTCCTCGATTTCAAGAGTGCGTTCGATTCAGTCCGTCAATCGATTCTGTTCGAAATACTTGCGCGGAAAGTTGTTCCCACGAAAAAATGTGAACATCCTTCGTGCTGTATACTCGAAGACTACAGGCCGCGTCAGGGTCTACGGTGTCCTATCGGATAGCTTTCCGACTACAAGTGGCGTTCGTCAGGGTTGTCTGATTTCCCCATTTTTGTTCAATTTCGTCGTGGATTCTATCATGGAGTGTTCTTTTGGGGAATCTCATGATGTAGGCGTTGAAGTGCTACCTGGTGAAAGGTTAGTTGACCTAGATTATGCGGACGATATCGTCTTGCTTTTCGACGATGTTGCGACGACATAATCAACCTTGAATAGCCTGTCCAGAGTGATCTCATTATTTGGTATGCACTTCGCGCCTTCAAAGTGCAAGGTGTTGCTGCAAGACCACCAGCCACTTGATGATCCCTTGGCGCTTGCTAACGAGGAACTCGAGGTGGTTGATCAATTCACTTATCTTGGCAGCTGCACCAACAATGATGGGCGCATAGAAACTGACGTCAGCTCACGCATTGCAAAAGCCAGAGTTACCTTTTGAAGCTGCGGCATCTTTGGCGACAGACGGGAGTTTCCTTCCGTCTGAAAGGCTGTGTATACAAGGCCACAGTGAGGGCCGTTCTGCTCGAGAATTGGCCCCTTCGGTCTGAAGATCTGGGGCGCCTTCAAGTCTTTGATCATCGTTGTCTGCGAAGCATTGCTGGAGTCGGATGGCACCAGCGTGTCCGCAACGATGATGTGCGTAGGCGAGTACTAGCTAGTGATAGTCATGCTAGCTCCCTAGAACAACAGGTAGCACTGAATAAGTTGCGTTGGCTCGGGCACGTGCTACGTATGCCTGGTCACCGCTCACCTAGGAGGGCCTTGTTCAGTCTCCCTGGTGTAGGTGGCGCAAGGTTCGAGGTGGACAGAAGTTGACTTGGCAGCGGGAAATGAAGTCACTGACGACCAAAGTGGGTGAAGTTGGTCCGTCTCGCCTTCCGGGCTGCAGTCCACGTGACTCACCTTGTGTTTGGCTCGTGACTTTACAGGACCTAGCTAGCAGTAGACACCAGTGGCGCGTCTGCTGTCGTCTCCTAAGCAGCTTGCCTGTTTAAAGTCTGTTTGGTGCTGAGTTATCTGCAGGGTAATGGCTGATTATGACGCGTGGCAGTGAAAGCCGTAAGGAAGCTGTCTCGCTGATGCTGCCTTATCTTTCCACGATAGTCAGGTGTTTGTGACGATATACTGTCTACACAAGGTGTAGACGCCTTGACTCTGAATTTTTGCTTAGGGCATTAAGGTTTTCAGGTTAGTCTCCCATCTCTCCCTCTTCTTATTCTTTATTTCATAGGTGCTCACGGTTGTAAGGCAGCGAAACATCAGTTCAAATGGCTGATTTACTGCTGTTGTTGATTGATAGGTTGACTCTCGCACTGTGATCTGAATTCTGTCGACAACACGAACAGAATGTACGCAAACGGACCACGTCTGCTTCGGCACTTAAACGCAGCTTCCGCACTTGCTCTGAAAAGATTGCGACCCGTCTGTTCTCTTCCATGGTAAGACTGGTACTTGAGTACCCCTCACCCGCCTACTGTCCCATCCCAACAGGTGAAGTGCACAGACTGAAACCGGTCCAGCATGTAGCTAGCCGGCTCATCCCCAGTTTACGGGGTACGTTGTACGACGACCGATGTATGAGACATAAGCTTCTTACCCTGTTATTCGAATTGATCTCATAATGACGCACCGGATACTGCATCTGGACCACTTCCCTCTGTTAAGGCCACTGCTGCACGTTCGCGCACCAAGCAGCACACACGGACACCGGTACGAACTAGTGGCACCAGGTTTAATGCGCGTCGTTCACCCTCTACTTCGAACATCGAGTGGTGAAATATTGGAACAATTTGCCGGAGACTCCAGTTGAGGCGAAATCGGTGTCGGAATTTAAGAGATTCCTTGACGCTCACTTTGCGGACTACAGATATGGGGATCGTATCTCACCCAGATAACATGTAGTGCAGGTGCAATATGCTGCCAGCGCGCAGAAATCATAGACGTGATTGCGCGCATGTGCACGATCTATTTACGATGGAACAACACGTATTCTTATCTTCTCGCTCTCTATTCTCAGTATTCATTACCATGTGGTTGTGAGTTATGGGACCAGGTCTACCGAGCCCGGTGCTCGGACTCACTTTTCGAAACTGAAACTACTTTCCTGAGCAAGGGTTTGTGCCAAAGCTCCGTTAATTGGAAAGGGCAGCTGGAGAATGCCATCCCCGCAAAAGTCTTTATCACCAATAGTATTGTGTTTTTGTTTCCATTCATTTCAAATATTCTCTTCGCATGGTAATCAGCATGGAACTACATCTGTCTCCGCAACAGGTCAAACAAATCGGTTCAATGAACATCTCGGCATTGGTCCTTGGTTCGGACTACACGCTGCGGCTTGCATGCCAGGAGCAGTCGTCCGTCATCCTTTAGTTTGTATCGGTTCACTGGGATGATGACACTCTTTGTGGTTGTCGCGTTGTTTCCGATCGATAGCCAACCATTTCTATAATCTAAAACCAGCACTGGTCCGTAGAGTGACCACAACCACGCGACTGTACTCCTTCCGTTTGCTTTTGTTCTACTTATGGGCACTCAATCGACCGTCTAGTATATCTGCTTGCATTACCCAATCGACTTTTTTAACGAACGTGATCAAACTACTTTGACCACGCACCAGCGTTCCACATTATGTTGTATGCGCTATCGCTTTAATTTGTGTTTTTCACCGGTGATTATGTCTGCTTTCTCGTCTAGCTGCAGTGGCTGATCGCTTAGTCACAAACGTCACTCACCGCAATGGGGACTTCATTTGTTTCTAGCTGGACCAACTTTTAACTTTGCTTTTTATTCCCCCCAATGTTTCTCATTGTCAACATTACGTCCGATGATCGGCTTTCCCTTTGGCTGTATAGATTGTCTGAATGTGGCTGCAACTGGACCTGGCTGCAACACTTGTGACTTATCATACTGTATCTACATCTGCGCGGCCGAAATCCCAATGTTTTATCCTCTCCTCTTCTTATTGTAATTCCATCTTGCCATATCTGTTACGCTTACTAGGCACATCAATACGATTGATGCGCGCTGCGTGTTCCTGTGCTCGAGTGTGAACTCCCTCTTTCTTCGTTTTCCTTGTCGATTTGTATTTTCCACTGCTGCTATGTTTCATAATCACAATGGTAGATTGCTAAAAATGTACCCCTATGAGTGCATAAAGCTTGTTTTTATCTTTTCTTGACAGTTGCTAGACTCTGGTTTGGATTATTTGCTGTTTACTTGAGATACAATTTACACTCTCATTGGGTTCACTGTTGAAACGGTCAACATAACTACCTCCCGGTGCGAATGGTATCCGTGCTTTCGAGATAGCCGAAGTTGGCTTCGGAGGAAATCACTGTCAGCTGAGACTGCGTATAGCAGTTCCAACATTCATGCTTGCCACCTGTCGGGGACTACACTAGCCATCTGAACGTGTCACCTAGATCAGCTTGACCGATTTTGCACCCGTTGAGTTAACATTCACTTTTCTCGAGTGCTGCGTTGTAACGTCAAAACACAGCCGTTGTTATGGCCATGTGAATCGCTGCATTTCTCCAACTTGTTACTACTTGGTTTATCACTTTAACTTGTGAACTCTGTCAATAGATGTATTTGATGCGAACTCACGACCTCATCATGTCGCCACGCCCACCATGATTCTAACGTTTTTCCGTATACTTTCTTAGGACTGATTATCCTCCCCGAAGTTGTAGCTCCTTTAAGTTACGAGTGCTCGCTTAAACCTGGTTGCTTGGCTCTATCGGACATGCTGTGTTGGCCTCATATCTGTATTTCCTTTTCCAGTCCCTTTTCAGTCTACAGCGGAGTCAAGGGCTATCGCGAGGCGCCCTCGCCCATTTCAGTGCCTTGTTGACATTAGATTTTCGGGCTATCCGAGCTTGCCGCACACTCATTCCGGTTGCTCAGTCACTTCACATGTCCTCTCCGCTTCTGGCCACTGTGATCGAAAAGGATGAGAAAGTCCAGTTCACAAACTACGCTCCGCATTGGTGGGATCCGCAAGGTGTGGTTCTCATAGATAAACTGCGGTACTCCCGATGCTGATTGTTGGAGTGCATATCAGATTTGTGTAATCTTTTTCGTCCTAATCCCTACTGCTTTTTCTTATCTATATTTGGCCTCTGTCTTCGATTACTGCATTTAACAAGCTCCGTATGCTTTTTTACTGTTTTGAAAACGGATAGCCTTAACCTTTTCGGCCTTAACGAGGGAAGCTTGAGGCGGAGCATTGTTGATATATATATATATATATATATATATATATATATATATATATATATATATATATATATATATGGTGACATGAAAAGGTTATGCTTAAGGTGGCTACTTGACCAAATAGCGCACATGCACAGACATTTCAGTAAACCATTTACAAACTGGCTAACTACTAGGGCGAAGCCAGTACACCAGGCGCGTTCTGTAGCACACATTGACTGGGATAAAGTTACTTTATCAAGGTTGCTTCGGCATGTCGTGAAACAACAACAGAACTTGCGCATGGGGTCCACGTAGTGTTTGCTTGTCAACTAGGGGCAGATGGCCTACACTCATAGGCTTATTTTAGCGGTAGCGGACGCAATCGTATGCTAAACGTGTTTCCTTACCCACATCAGCGTATGCTGCGTTATTCTCACGCGAAGTTTGCGCGCTGTCATGCCTACGTACTTGACCTTGCAACTACATGCAAGCTATCACGGAACGCGTAAACGGCTGAGCCGAGGCAATGGCTAGTGTATGCCCCGTTCCGTTGTGTTATCGTATGCTTCGACGGATCATCTTCGTGGAGGCGTTTGCTCTAATACGCGATACCTGACATGTCCCCTAACATTCTCAGTTATTGCCATTTGTTCCAGGCCCACTTCGAATTCTGCATACTATGAACCGGCTTAGGGTCCCATTCATCCGTGATGGCATATGTCTTTCTGATACCCCGGCTTCCCCCACTGATCTCTCACCAGGCTGCTACGCTCCTCTGTTTGGTCGCAAGATTTTGGACGTCGGCTGTGGCGGCGGAATATTGTCGGAGGTAGGCTGTGCTCTCGGCCTTGCTGTTGTTTCACGCCATTTTTTCTCGGTCCCCCTGATTCCTTATTCTCAGCACACAGTATTTATATTAATGTTCCACTGCCATATAACCAATGGGCCTTTTTTAATAATAACAGTGGTAAACTGGGGTGAGGAGACCTGACATTAACCTCACTAGCCCTTGGCGCACACTCACGGGAAGGCACTAACGTCTTAGCGACTATGCACCGTCATGCACAGCTGGCTATCTTACGAAAATAGGACGGTAACGGCGAGACAGGTTCCTTTAAACTTTTGCTGCTCTGCTTCATAAACGATGTTAATCCAGAGATAGCTCAACATCATACACGGTTTAAGCACGCAGTCCTGATAGACGACAACTGACAGTCCTCTTCCGGTAGCCTGTCACAAGCCACATCTTACAGTGTATCTATTTAAGCATCGCGTGAGTCTGGTGAGCTTTAGTCTAGAAGACGAAATGGCTGTCATCACCAAGTCTGGAGATCGGCGACCTAATTTCTCAGTACTAGGTTGACGATTGCTCTATAGAACCTTACGCCATCATAGGGCCGACAGCAAAGGCAGGTTTGCCATCTATACGCGTTGAGCTGGGATGCGTAACATGTGCCAAAAGTAACGGATCTTATTCACTTTTAGTGTTCTAACGAATGGCTTAACATCAATGGGTAGTACTGTCTTGAGTTTCTCGTCACTTCTAACACGCTGGTGCCGCGTGACACCGAAAGTTTTGTGGTCCAGCTCATTTTGTTGGACTGTACCTCGAATCACCGAGAAATATACCATTTATTTATTTATTTAACCTGTGAGAAATACCACTCCACTTATTGCTCACACTTTCCTCTTTGGATTCAAGGGGGCCCATTACTATCGGGCGAAAGACTCGCAGTCACACTTTTTCCCGCACCCCGTGTTGTGTACCGTGCTCAATCTTCTTAGGCATTTCTTATACTCCATGTAGTCAAGTCAAAATAAGCTTTATCTATCCAACTGGGTACATTTTCAGCATTTTAGCAATAACCATTCAATTTTTTCAATTTAAGTAAGTACTTTATGCACCAATAACGGTGAATATTTAGCTGTTGCACACACGCTTTCAGCAAAGTAAAAGAAATAAAACAGTAACTACACAAGCAGCATGATAAGTGGCATAAACAACAGTATGTTTATGATGCAAAGTTGTTTTTAAACTCCAGGACAACTGATGTCTTGTCGCACAAATAACGTGCCAGATATGGAAAAAACGAATGAGTGATAAGCTCTTGTGTGGACAAAAATGGATCTATACTTTGGGCTGATTGAGGATGTTGATACACACTCAGAAAGTGCGCCATGAAGAGAGTGACTTGTATCTGTAAGTATTCTCGAAGCAAACTTTAAGCGTGAATTGGTGTGATTAGACTCGTGCATCTGAACAAAGGCCCGGCATGGGAATTCCACTACACCGATATTATTGCGTCAGTGACCAACCTAGGATTCTGTAGTGCTTCCTTAGGAAATCAAGAAATATCACACTGAAGCAATAGGTCCAAAGGGGTAAGACCCATGCGGTGATACATCACAATTAGGTGGCGGGGACAGAGGAGGATCGCAAACGGAGGACGTAGAACGAGAGCCTCCTCACTTTTGTTAGAGCATCATTAACATGGGGTGACCAGGAACGATCACCACACTCTGGAGTGCAAATTCTCGCCATCTATGTGAAGTTCGGGGTATACCATGGAATGTGGCTGATAACCATGGTCTTTGGGTACGGAGGAAATGAGGTTATTACTTTCTAATGCATTCAGTGATAAATAGTATGATATAGACCATAATACAAGATCGTTCAGATAGCCTTGTGATTAGGTTGATGAGGCTGTGGTCAGTTGTCTGTTCAAGACTACCTCGTTTGCATATTTCAGCAATACCGCATCGGCAGAGGCAGGTAAAAAGGCGATGTAGGTAGTAAAGAGGTATGGAGATACTATGGCCCCTTGAAGAACTTCTGTGTCCGTGGTGAACGGCGAGGAAGTTTTACCCTCAAGTCGAGTAAACTGGGCACGTTCAATGAAGTAGTCTCTCAAAAGGTGGACAGTGGAGGGTTGAATTCCAGCATCATGCAGATCTCACAAAAGAAGCTCACGGTTTACACTGCTGAAACTATTACTGTAATCGAGAAAACACATGCGTAGGGATTTCACCTTATTGTCTAGTGACGACAACACTGGATATACAAGATAGGCTAATGCGTCTTGCGTATATCTTAAACAACGATAAGCAAACTGTCGCGGATCATCTGAACGAATCTGATTCAGAAACTTTTCAAGAATAATCTTCTCGAATTTCTTCAAGTTTACCGAGGTGCATGTAATTGGTCGGTATTTATCTGAGCCTTTCTTTGGCACTGGTGTAATTTTGGCACTTCTCCAGCAGTCAGCAATATTACAACACTCTTTCATGCACAACGTGTGTAGGTCAACAAGACGCTGGGCCAAGGAATCGGCACACACACTTTGAGGACAACGGGTCATAGTCTGTCCGGATCATTTACTTTATTGGAGTTTAGCTGCAGTAGTTTATTACACACTGTATTTTTGTCAGTGACAGGCAAGGAGGTTGTGGGTGGACAAAATCGTGGTGAAGAAGGGTGAGAGGCGGTGTTAGCATTGAAGCAACAGTTCAATTCTTCCAGGTCTACATCTGGATTTGATACTCGGTTAGAGACTCTACTACGTTGTTTCAGCATGCGCCAGACATCCCGGCAGCTACTATTTTCCATTATGGTCTAGAAATATAGGTAGTTTAGACGGCACAACTCAGTTTTGATAGAAATAGAAGAAGATTTCGCCACAGCGTGGCCTTTCATTTTGAACGCTTTCTCTTTGAGTCTACGCAAGCGTATGGAGATGAAAATAGTTTCCAGTGGATAGCAAGTATCAAAGCAGAAGTTGGTGTAGCCCGTTAACTGGCCGCAGTATTTTGATACATCGTTGTCTAGAAATATACTAAATTTGTGAATGAAATCATTTCCGGGAGTCGATATATGTACTCAGGTGGACGTTGTATTCTTTTAAGCCCGCTAGCTTTACAACGATTGATTTGCTTTGCTGTACACGATAGGAGATAATTTGGTATTTGAGTGGTCGGAACTACCAATCGGTGCCTGAATGCACACAAAAATAGCTTCACATTATTAACAAATATAAGGTCTATAGTGGCTTCAAGTCTGGTGGGGGAGTTTACAACGTTTTGCAGCCCAATGTGTGAAAAAAGTGGTGCCAAATCTGTTGAACTCACTAGCGAAGATGCAAAGAGAAGAATCAATGTGGTCGATGACACCTAAATTGAACTGATCGTAAAATTCCTCTATCTCAGAGACGGGACAATTGGGGGCAAGGTACATATTTACAAGCAGAATCGATTGATGGCCACTTAAACAGCTTGGTTTACATTTCAAAATCAAACAGTTACTACGTGGAGAAGAAAAGTGAAACCAACATTTTGTTGACATGCACCACACAGAATTGACATAAGTGGTAACACCTCCGCCGCGGCTCTTGTATGTAGTTGACCGGTCCACACGATGGCAGAGGAATCTCTCGATCACCACAACCTCATCGTCAACATCTTTATGGAGGCACCTCTCTTGAAGGATATTTAGGCCAAGCTTCGAGTATTCACGACAGTGAATTTTGCTTTTAATTTCATCCATTTTGCTCATAACTGATCCGACACTTGAGCTTATTATTATGGTATATTTATATTCTGCAGTGTTTTCTTCCGTAGAGCAAGCCTTCAGACGACGCGATGCTTTTTCGTAGAATTATTCGCTTCAGTTTAAGTTTTACAGCTTTACCGTGAAAAACCGTGACGTTCAGTTGAGTAGAGCCGCATAAGGATTTTAACCTGTCGCGAGTATAGATCACCATTCCCTTGAAGATTGTATGAATTGGGTAGAAAAAAAGTGCAAAAATTGCCAAAAGCTTGCGTGTAAGTACTTCTGAAGATGGTGTGCTGAGGCTTGTGGCGGCTAGATCCTGATAGATGGTCTACCCACAGCTGCTAATGTTGTGCCGTGGGCTCATGTCCTGGATGCTTCCTCGTGGCGACCGCTGGGTTGGAGTCGTATTACCCTCTTCTCCTAGCTAAGAGCCAGGATACACCAATCCGCATGAGTTAGTGAACTGATTATATGCTAAACCCGCTGCCTTTCGGGTGTACATTTAATAGAAGGCTTTGGCTGAGGACCCGAGTCGTTCTCGTCTCAGGTGTGGACGCCCTGCCAGTATCCTAATTCAAACCCCCTCTTCGGAGGTTAGGAAGTGGTCGATAGCCCTTTTCCGTAAAACCTAGCTATGGGAGACAACAGGTCTACGGGTTATAAGCTCACAACTTGATTGGCGTAAAGCATGGGCGCCATGCATTGTTTCTGACAGTGGGAGATCACATCCGGATGCTCAGTGGTTTGCTGCTGCCCGCCTCAAGCCAGGCAGCCCCTAGTCAAATTGATGCAAATCCGCCAAAACCATTCTGCGTCTGACTGTGATCTCAGCTACGTATCTCACTGCGATCGCAAACCATCAATGCATTCAGCTAATTCATCATCGTCACCCCCAATCAGCAGGCTTAGGCTAGTCTGGAAAAGCACCAGACATTGGCGTTTCTACCTTCTGGGTCTCTTGATTAGTGCGTCTTTTAGCGGACCCCTGCGGGGTTCTGCTCCCATGACTTCAGGATGCCACCAGCTAGTGCCACTTCGCCATTGATAACATCCGCGGACTTGCGTGATTGACAGTTGACTATGATAAAACCCGGCTCATTTTCCACTGCCATACCCATACGGAAAGTCCTAGCTCATGAGACTAGCCACTGTTCTCTGCACAGTTCGTAACTGACATAGCAGTGGAAGATGAGCTGGGCTATCTAATAGTCAACTGTCGATCACGCTGCTCCGCGGCTGTCATCCATGGCGTAGTGACACTAGCTGATGGCATCCTGAAG